GGAGGCTTGGGCACCCCAGGAAAAACCAGGAATGATTCCTCCCAGAGGGAGCCCTCAGCGTCTCAGGCCTTCTCAGGCCGAGTGGCTGCGGACAGCGTGCTTGGGACCTGTTTTGCTTTTTAACCTTCGGTCAGAGAAGTGAATTGAGAAGCCAAACAAACGCCAGTGTGATGTGGGAGTTTGTCTGCTGATGATGAGAGCAGCATTAAGTAGAGTGGCTGTAACACAGGTCAGGCAGAAATCTGAAGAGAGGGAGGGAGGAGAGAGAACATGACCGAGTTAGCAGGGCCATCACTGCAAATAAAGCAAAAGCAGCTTGAGCAGCCTCAGTCTCTCAGCTCAAAGGAAGCCCCAGCCAGGCCTCGGAGGTGTTGGGGGCAGTTGTCAGGCACTGGCATGCCCCATCTGGCCTCTTCCTCCTTCCCGCCTCCCCACTGCCCCCCAGCTTTGTTCAGCTGGCCAGCCTCTGGTACAGTCCCCAAACTATCAGCACTCCCCATGGACTCTTCCCTAGGTTGGATATGTCGAATTTCATTTTTCTCCATGTGCCTCCACGCCTGAACTTTGAGAGGAGGAGTGTTCTTGCTTGGAATGCAGCTTGTGCGTGGGGAGCTAGGTGCTCAGACAACTTCCCACCGCACATGTGTGAGAAGCTGGAGGCTTCTTGCGGGAGCTATGCTTGGGTAGCCTCAAGCAGACCCAGTTCTGCGCATTCAGGTTCTGGCAGACTCTGTAATCCTTCTACTCGGGATTCTGTGGAGATCAAAGGAGCTTGTACACAAAACACTAGGTATTTAGAGTAGGGTTTTTTTTTTTATTTTAAAATAAAACCACCTAATCATAAGCCAGCCAGCCAGCCGAGCAGTTGCTTTAGAACAGCAAAGCCTAAATCAAACAGTGGGATTGCAAGGTGAGCTGAGCCATTAATGAGACTCGGCTTTCTCTGTAAGAGGGATTTCAGCCTCACCCAGTGGCACAAAAAGGCCATGGGGCAGCAGCGCCTCTCCCCGCCCCAAATCAAGAATTAGGAAGGGGGGGTGTGCGGCCGACCGGTGGTGTCTGGGCAGTGAAGCGCCGGCCAGGCTCTGAGTGCTGCAGCTCAGAGTGTCCCAGTCCCCGAGCTGCTTCAGAGGCTGCAAATTGTTGTTGGTGGCGGCGGGCAGCCAGGAATGGTGTCTGTGCGCAGGGCAGGGTGAGTCCCAGACATCCACGCAGAGTTGGGGAGTCTAGAAGAGAGAGTAGACCTCTAGGAGACAAACCCAGGGGACCTCTGGCCAAGGCTGTTCCCAAATAAAAATCCCAGGTTTCCTCCCTTTCATATCAGACCTACTTCCCCGAGAAATTCATAGATTTCCCAGTGCAGAGCAGAAAGCAAAGACAGGCAAGGTGAGGCCTGTCCGCCGCCAACCCCTTCAGGGCCAGAGGCCCGTCGCCCTAGCCCGCAGTCCGCAGCCCTGCCTTCTCAGCTCAGCTACACAGGGCCCCTGCCCCTGCCCCCCCGGAGCTGGGCAAGGCTGGAGCGGACCGACTGGCTCTGACTGGGAAGCCCCCAGTGCCCAGCCTCTCGCAGCCTGTGTTAGGGGCTCCAGGCCAGCCAGCCGCTGCTCCCCACTCAGGCCATGGCCTGGAGTAAGTGCCTCTCTCTTAATTAGCACTGGAGAAAAGCATGTGTTTTGGATGGGGGGCTCTGGAGCAGCTAGCAGCCACTTCCCCCCTTTATTCCTTTTCTGTGTTTTTAGAGTTCTGTTTTTGAACCCACTGATTACAACTTGGAAAGCAAAAATCTACTCACACAGCCAGTCCCTCCTAACGCCTGGTTTGGGAGGCCGAAGGGGCAAAGCAACTCAGAGACCCAAGGGCCTGATGGGGGGTGTTCTCTGATTTCTCTTGGCTCATTTTATAGAAACAAAGAACAAATTCTCCCCCCACCCCACACACACACACACACACACACACACACCAGGACTTGAGCATATTTACAGAGCTCAACTGCAGTTTTAATAAAACATCTGTTCTTGCTTCTGCTGATGAGTTTCCATAATTGTTTTCAGACAAATTTAACAGGAAAATATAAATATACATTTTTAAAAGCCCAAATCCTAGCTTTCCCCCCATAGAAAGTGGTTCTTTTGCTCCCGAAATAGAATTAACGTGAAATGAGAAAAGGAAAATAGAACCCCATAGAGGGAAGATCGGGGCTCAATTGACCTGCTCCCCCCTTGGCACGAACCCTGCCAGCAAATTTCAGCTGCATAATTAAAGATCTAACTGAAAGAAGGAGACTTCTTTCCTCGTGAACAAACGGAAGGTAAGGGGAGGACTGTGTTGGGAATTAATTTTACTGAGCTTTAAGGAGTGGGGGAATTTATTTGTATTTCTGCTTCCCCTTCTCTCCCCCGGCAGCATTTCTGCCTTTCCCCAGCAGCTGGTTTCTGTTCATTATAAATCGGCAAGACCTTTCAGTCTCTGCCCTCTGTTTAGGGACGTCATAAAACACTTAACTTTCTGGGGCTGGGACTTACATTCCCTCCGCAGGTTGCCCACCCCCACGACCAGTGCCTTTAGGCCCCAAAAGAGGCTCTTCCCAGTCTGGGAACCCCCTTTTCCTCCAGATTGGGCTTCGAGGGGGACCCAGCCATGCTGGCTAGGGAGCTGCAGCAGAAACCCCTTCCCTCTTCCAAGGTCTTCCCTTCTCCCACCCATAAAAGAGATTTAAAAATACATAGAAAATCAACACTCATTGAAAGCAAAAGCTCATTAAGGCACCCTATCTTCCATCATTCAATTTGTTGTACATTGCAACAATTTAATATCTTGAAGGAAATATCACTGACATGATTTATCCCTCTAGCAATCTCTCTGAAATGGGGGTGGTGGTGGAATTGACTCTCTTGGCCTGTTCTACACATTAGATCTGTACCCTCAGGGCAGAAATGAGGGTCTGCTTGTGTCCAGGGGTGCACTGACTTGTTCTTAGCTCAGCCCTCTGGGATTTCTCTCTCTCCCTCTCCCTCTCTCTCTCTCTCCTCTCTCTCTCTCTCTCTCTCTCTCTCTCCCCCCCCCCCCCCCCCCCCCCCCCCAGCTCTCGCTCCCTCTACATCTTGCCCTCCAGGGGGCCTGGAGCCACAGCCAGCTGTTGGAAACCCCTGCCCAGGCATGCCATGAATTCGAGGACAGCTGGATTCTAGACCGAAAAGCAATCCATGCTGCTGTCTGCGGACCTGCCATGTCATCCCAACATGAGATAACATCTCAAAATTTCCCTCTTATTTTAAGAGCCTTCTCTACCCTATTACCTTCATCTTCTCTGGGAGAACAAAGTATGGGCTGGGAGGAGGAACCTTTCTAATTATAGGGATCTTACCCTCCACGCTTGCTTTTTAATACCAACAAATTTCCCTCCCTTCTGAATGAGTGGGGCTGTGTTTTTAAGATACAACACAAATTGTATGTGGCAGGAAGACGCCTCAATTCCATAAGGAGGTTCATGTATTAACTAACATGTTGTCTCCACCAGTTCCTACACATTGTCTGCTTTTGGGTTCAAAACTTTATCCCCCCCCCCCCCAGTGACACTCCAGGGAAACCTTAACGTTACAGAAGATGAATAAACGAGTTTTTTCCCAGCGTAGTCCCGTTTATGGCTTTATTGCTACCCATTGATTACTCCGCTTTGTTACACAGAAGGAAAAGATCATAAAATCCGGCGACATCCGGGTTCTTGTTATAGCCAGTCCCCCCCCCAAAAATAAATGGGAGGGGAAAATATGAGCTTTCACTGCTTGCTCCCTCTCCTCGCCCCAAAGCCCCCTCTTTGTCAACTCAAAGCATTTTCAGCCTGTGTCCCGATATCAAATTAAGTTTGGATTCATCAGGAGAAAATCCCTCTGCACACCTTCGGCTGCTTCACTTCCTTGCCGCAGCTCCCTGAGAAGCCTCGGCCTCAGCTGCCTTCTCCTGACCTTCTCTTCTTTCTTCTCAGCCCCAAGGTGGAAAAAATGGGGGTAGGGGCTGCTGAGAGGCTCGGGGCCCCACCAGGTGTGGCGGGTGCTTGGGTGGGAGCCCAAGCTGGAATCTGCAAGCACCAGAGTTCTGGTCCAGGGACACCTCCCTTGGGAAGGCAGGGTCTGCAGGGGTTGGGGGCTTCTGACCTGTGCGGGGCTTGAGCCCCCAGCACGCTAGCTAACTGCCCGTCAGAGCCCCACCAGCCTTCTGAGGCAGGGTCCTGTGTGAATTACCCCATCAGCCCTGGCTGGCTCTAAATCATAAATTCTCACCAACATAAACAGGAGTTGATGTGTCCAGTAAGACTCTGAGTTCTTTCTTCTTCCTCACTCTCTCTTCCACCTTTTACTTCTTTCACTCCTTTTTCTATTGTATTTTTATACATTTTTCCTTTGTAGGCAAAAATGTTGCAGGAGTTTCCCCCCCAAAAAATAGGGGGTCCTGAGGAGGCAGAGGGACTTAGGAGGAAAAGGAAAGCAGATGTATAGCCCTCTGTCCATTTGAGCCCGGCCACTGCACCGCCAAGTCTCACTCTCACTCCTTCAGTCTGTGTGGCTTCCCACATCCATCCTGTACCCCAAACTCTCAGTCACACTCCCCTTCCTCTGAAAACCATGTCTTATTCCATTTCTTCCTACTTTTGATTTTTTTTTTAATTGTTGGGAAATGATTTAGTGATGAAGACTCAGTCCATGAGTGTCAGACTAGGATTTCTGGGGTCTCCCTGAGTAGACAGGGGTCTCCCCCCATAGAGAAAGCGGGGTGTGATTTTAGAAGGGGGACCGTATAGATGAAATCAGATTAAGAATTCAGGGGCTTCTCCAGCCCTGGCTGTGGCCACAGCACAGCAAAGTTAGCTGCTGGGGCTGAGGGGTCCCCTGGAGAGGGCAGCTCTCCTCTCTTGGCTCTGCCGAGGCCCTGCCCCTGGCGGTACACCCTTCCTTCACCTCCAAATCAGTTCCCTTCCATATATATTTTTAAAAAGAAACCCAAGTCTTACTTTCAAAGCACACACTTAGTCTCAACTAGGGAATCAACAGAAGCAGAAGCGATTTTTTTCCCCCTTCTTGACATCTGGCTTGCGATTGGCTGGAAGAGGGTCAGCTGACTTTGTCATTTTGTCTGTCCTGGATTGGAGCCGTCCCTATAACCATCTAGTTCCGAGTACAAACTGGAGACAGAAATAAATATTAAAGAAATCATAGCCCGACCAGGTAAAGGCAAAGGGATGAATTCCTACTTCACTAACCCCTCCTTGTCCTGCCACCTCACCGGCAGCCAGGAGGTCCTCCCTAACGTCGCCCTGAATTCCAGCGCCTATGATCCAGTGAGGCATTTCTCGACCTATGGAGCCGCCGTTGCCCAGAACCGGATCTACTCGACTCCCTTTTATTCGCCACAGGAGAATGTCGTGTTCAGTTCCAGCCGGGGGCCGTATGACTATGGATCTAATTCCTTTTACCAGGAGAAAGACATGCTCTCAAACTGCAGACAAAACACCTTAGGACATAACACACAGACCTCAATCGCTCAGGATTTTAGTTCTGAGCAGAGCAGGACTGCGCCCCAGGACCAGAAAGCCAGTATCCAGATTTACCCCTGGATGCAGCGAATGAATTCGCACAGTGGTGAGTTTTACAGCTCCGAGATATAAATTAAATAAACTGAACTGGCTTTATGACCGGCTTCCCTAGAAGAACGGGCGGAGAGAGTTTTTTATGGCCCCATAAAAACAATCACGCTCGTCTCCTCGCCGCCGACGCCGAGACAGGGCCCCCTCTTCTGCCCCCTCTGCTCGCCTGGCGCTTGCCTGCTTGCAGGGCCTGGCCCCCTCGGCCCCTGACGGATTGGAGGGCTCCAGGGCCAGCTGAGGGGGCAGGAACAGGGCAGGGGGCGAGGGGAGGGGGTAGGGGTGGAGGGGCCCCCCCAAAGTCAAGTCAGGCTAAGGAGAAGGGAGGTGGACTGGTGGGGGCAAAGAAGTGGGGAGAAGTTTCCCAGGAGCGAGGGTGCTCGGGGCGGTGGGGGTGCCCAGTCTTAGAGAAATGGGCCCCTCATCCCCAGCGTTGGGCATTTTTCAAAAACCAGCTTTTAGACTCAGTTTTCTGCCAGATTCTTGGCGCCACCACCCCCCCCAACGCACACACATCGCCCCATCTATGGGGGATTGAATGAAGTTGGGATCCTCGCTGTACCCCCAGTGGGGGTGGGGCAGGGCAAAGGGAGAAGGCTGGAGCCCCGGGAGGCCGTAAACTGCTGGCCAAGTTGGGAGGGTCAGGACTTTGCTAGGCGAAACCGTGCGCGGAGGACGCCTTGCTGATTGTTTTTAGTGTGTTTTGTGCCCGGATCTCTAGGGGTCGGCTACGGAGCGGACCGGAGGCGCGGTCGCCAGATCTATTCGCGGTACCAGACCCTGGAACTGGAGAAGGAATTTCACTTCAACCGCTACCTAACGCGGCGCCGGCGCATCGAGATCGCCAACGCGCTCTGCCTGACCGAGCGCCAGATTAAAATCTGGTTCCAGAACCGCCGGATGAAGTGGAAGAAAGAATCTAATCTCACGTCCACGCTCTCAGGGGGCGGCGGAGGGGCCTCGGCCGACAGCCTGGGCGGGAAAGAGGAAAAGCGGGAAGAGACAGAAGAGGAGAAGCAGAAAGAGTGACCGGAACTGTCCCTGCCACCCGTCTCCCTCGCTCCCCCAAACTCCCTCCAAAATCACACACTCTGTATTTATCACTGGCACAATTGGTGTGTTTTGACTCCCTAAAACCAAATTAAGGAGGCAAATATGGACCTGAAAGTCAACTCTGGACCCCTCCCTCCGCACAAACTCTCTCCCACCACGCGCCGCCTCCTAGCTCCCTCCCTGGCTCATCCGGCTGCTCCGCAGGCCCCTTCCCCGCCGAGGCCTGGGGTCGGTCCCTGAGTCTCTCTTCAGAGCCCCAGTCTCCCTCCAAATGAGATCTTGGCCTCCAGCCCCCTCGGCGTCCCCTTCTCTCCCCGCAGAGAGCCGGTCCCCGAGTCCCGGCCCCCACTCCGGGGCCTCTGGGCCCGGCCGGCCACCGGGGAGGGCGGGAGGCCGAGGGGGGCTAGTTGTGGCCCCTCAGCAACCCCCAGCCTCCCCCCCAGCCGCAGCCCCTGTCCTCTGCCCCAGCAAATGCCCAGCCCAGGCAAATTGTATTTAAAGAATCCTGGGGGTCATTATGGCATATTACAAACTGTGACCGTTTCTGTGTGAATATTTTTAGCTGTATTTGTGGTCTCTGTATTTATATTTATGTTTAGCACCGTCCGTGTCCCAATCCCATCTTTAAAAAGGAAAAAAAAAATGGGGGGGAATAACAAAAAAAAAAAAAGAGAGGAAAAAAAGTGAATGACGTTTGTTTAGCCAGTAGGAGAAAAAAATAAATTAAAAAAAATCCCCTCGTGTTACCCTCCTGTATAAATCCGACCTCTGGATCCGTTCTCGAATATTTAATAAAACTGATATTATTTTTAAAAGTTTATATCGGGATTTCTGTGAATTCGCTCGCCCGCCGACCTCGGGGTGAAAGTTGCAGCAGGCTCGGCGCGCGGCGTCAGCCCGCCCCCGGCCCCGGAGCTAGCCTTTCCCGGGGGCGGGCGGGGAGCCCGGCCTCCCCCTTCTCCTGGCGACCGCTCTGGGGCTGGGGGGCTGGCTGGGAGGCCTCTCTGGGCTCCCTGCGCAGAGCTGCACACTCACCCCGCAAAAGGAGCCGCCTAGGATTTCGCTGGGGGTGGGGGTGGGGGCCTGAGGCCGGTCGGGTCGGCTTGGTCTCAGCCCCACCCAGGCCTTTCTCCCGGCCTGTGCCCATCTGGGGTCCTCGGCTTCTGAACCCCGCGCCCCAAAAGGCCGGAAAACGAGCATTATCCAAGCACCAGGGTCGCCCCCCACCTCCCCGCGCTCCGGGCCACTCCCCGGAGCAAGGAGGGGGCGCCGCGCGCGAGAGCCCCGGGCCTGCGCCGGGACGACTGTTGCGAAACGTGGCGGAGGCGGAGGCCGAGGGGAAAGAGAAGCCCGCGGGACTGGAGTGCGGCCCTCGGCAGGGATCGAGCGACTCAAGGACACCACCGAAAAGAAAGCATGGAAACCGAGCTCGCGCCGGCTCTGGGACGCCTGACGTAGCTGGGACGAAATTCCTCCTCCACAGCCCCAGACCCAGTCTGGCTCCTGACTCTTTCTTCTCCCCTCAAACTCGCGGGTGAGGAGCGTGGCCAGACCCTAACCCTTCCCCAGTCTAGGCCTTCCTTCCTTCCCCAAGCGCAGCCAGAGAAACTTGAGTGCACCCAGGGGATGAGGCAGCGACGGGGTCTCCCAGGGGGGGGGAGCCCGCCAGAGTTTCCCAGACCTTCCGGATCCCGGCCAGCGCCCCCTCCAGCGCCTCCGCCTGCGGGCGGGGCGGAGATTTCCTGGGGAAAGACAGGCAGGAAAGAATAAGGCTTGGGGCTAGGAGAGGAGGATCGGGAAGGGGCCGGCGGCGACCCGCCTCTGGCTGTGAAGGTTGCCCAGGCGCCAGCCCTGCCCATCCCCCACCCCGCCCGGCCCTAACCAGGCCCTTTCCAAGCCTTCAGACAGCTCGGGGCTTGCTCCCCCGTGAAACTTGTGGCTCCACGTCCCTGAGAAGCCTGGTCCAGAGGCCTGCCCCCCAAAGGGCACAAAGCAAGCCTTTCCCTCTGCCCTGTTCATTTAATATTTGCAGGGGCTTGATGCCTGCCCCTCCATGCCTTCAGTTAGCCTCTATTTCCTATTCAAAATCGAGGCATGGGTACCACATGTGGCACAGGTACCACATAGGGCCATGCCAGGGATGCAGAGCAGACCAGCCAGCTGTGCCTTTACAGCTCCACCCCCCCCCACACACACACACTTGAAGATCACCTTGTCACTCTGAAGCCCCTGGCATGTTGAGGAGACTTATTTAACCCTAGGTAGAGTGGGGGGCCAGTGTGTTCCTTACTTCCAGACATCTCAGAGTCCTCAACACTCTCAGCCTCAGCCTCGTGAACTGCACCCCCCCCCCAATTCTCCCCACCAGGACACTCCTCTGAGCATCTTTTCCGCCTCTCCAGAGGCTGGGTTCACTATCCCTTACTGACTGGCACCTCCTCATCAGTAGCAAGGCCTTGGGGCTTCCGAAAGGAAGGGACCTAGAGACCCTTAGCTCAGAGACTCTGAGATAAACCCCCTCTTTTCCAACCTGGGCAGGGACCTTGCCTACCTAAATTCCCTGCCCTCAGCCATGTTTTCTAAGATTGGAAGGCCCTGAGGGTAGGGGAAACGGGGCTATCTGTTACCCAAGTTCCCTCTGTGAACCCTTAAGGAGGCCTGTTCTTTTCTTAAAGTTAAGTGCAGTTTAAAAAGCCATTTCAGGGGTTTGGTGCAGGAACAACCAGCTTCTCCTCTACAGGGTAGAAAACCCAGCGGCGAGCCTGCACGCCAGGCTGCAATTCCTACAAACAGACACCAGGTGTCGCTGTGGACTCGTTGTCCCGGCTACCCCCCAATACCAAGAACCATTTTTTTTTCTCCCCCTTCTCTCTCTTTCTCTCTCACTCCCTCTCCCCCTTGGTTGGGCTTTGCCAACATATCAAGATACGTTTCGCCGGCTTCCATCACTAACCTCCCGGAGGTCATCAAGCCAAATTTATGAGTGGCCGCTCGAGTCACGTGACTCTATTTAAGGCTCCCTTATTTGGGAAGAGCGCATAGGATAAAGAAAGAGATATCTCCACCTATAAATTGTGCACTTTGGAGAACAAAAAACCCCTCAACTTCAAAGAGTCACAAATCACCCTTAATCAAAAAGGGTGCAGAGATTTTTTTGGGGCCCTCCCCGCCATGAGCTCCTACGTAGCCAATTCATTCCATAAGCAGAGCCCCAATATCCCTGCCTATAACATGCAAACTTGTGGGAACTATGGATCGGCCTCAGAGGTGCAGGCACCCAGGTACTGCTACGGCGGATTGGACTTAAGCATCACTTTCCCACCGCCTGCGCCTTCCAACTCTCTCCACGGGGTAGACATGGCTGCCAACCCCCGGGCTCACCCCGACCGCCCCGCCTGCAGCGCCGCGGCCGCTCCGGGACACGCTCTGGGCAGAGATGAAGCGGCTCCTCTGAACCCCGGGATGTACAGTCAGAAGGCGGCTCGCCCAGCGCTGGAGGAGCGAGCTAAGAGCAGTGGGGAGATCAAAGAGGAGCAGGCGCAAACAGGGCAGCCGGCCGGACGGAGCCAGCCACCGGCCCCGCCACAGATTTACCCGTGGATGACCAAACTGCACATGAGCCACGGTAAACTTTAGGACTTCATTTTGCGCGCTCGGGTCCGCCTGGGTTTTATAGGCCATGCGGGGCAAATAAAGAAAAAAAACCTGCGGCCATAAATTTTACGATCCAGGCATCAATGGCTCGTAAAACTGTCCACTAAAAGGCTTAGAGGCTGTGTGCGCCCAAATTTACGACGACATAATTGGATCATAGGAACAAAACGTGTATAAAAGGCAATATTCAATTTTTGGGGGAGAGGGAGGGAGTTAAAAAAATAGAGGGATCTGAAGGGTGAGGAGCGCGGGGCTCCAGAGCGGGGATCCCCCCGCGGCTCCCTCCTCCCTCCCCTGCGGAGCCGGCCCGGCGGGCGCTGCGGCTCGGGAGGCTTCCCGAGGCTCGGGAGGGGCGGGAGGGGGTCCCCGGCGCTCGGACCTCCAGGGTGCTCATTGTTCGGCCCGAGCCCGGGTCTCCCTCTCCCCCCCAACCCCCTCGGCCCCTCCGGCTGCTGAGTGGAGGCGCCGGCGGAAAGTTTGCTGCCGGGCCGGCGGCGCCTCTCCCGGGGCCCGGCCGGGCC